ATCTTATGAGACTGAGCAGGCCCAGTGGAGAACTGACCCTGAGAGCTAAGTATCACCAGAAGAAACACACTTTAAAACTCAGCTGCCTGTGTGGTCTTTCTCTGCAGTCCAGCTGGTGCTCAGCCATTATTAGAGTTCTCCACACTTGAGTCCTGGACACTACTGTTGTGAGAGAAGGTGATTTTCTTCAGTCAGGTGACAGGAAGAGATGTGCCTTTTGCAGCTAGTTCTTTCATGCACAGCCTAGGCTGCTCAATGCTAGAATGTCCAGAGAACAATCCATGGGCTTTCATCTGACAGAGATGGATGAGCAAGAATCTTCACTTGAATAACAACCATTCCACACTGGGGACTCCACAGGACTCAACCTCCTCCCAAGATGACCCCCCTCACCCAGCCTGAGCTCTAGGAGCTCTTCTCCATGATTCTGGGATTGAAGTCAGATCCTGTTTATGGTAGTGGATGTTATTTTATAAAAGTTATAAAAGCTATTTCAAAATAACTTTATCTAAAGGATTTCACAAGGTTAAATAGTAACGCATGAAGTCTGGGGAGACAGCTCAGTGGGGAAAGTGCTTCTTAAACAAGCATAATACCCAGAGTTTAAATCTCTAGCACCTACCCCAAATTGGGGGCAGACAGGCAGATCCCAGGAGATACTGGCCAGCAAGCCTAGCCAAAACAGCTCAGTGGGAGACCCTGCCTTGAGACTACAGTAATGTAGACAGTAATAAAGAAGGCTATCCATTATCCTGCTCTGTGTGAGCAACCACACAATCAGCATCCACACATCTCTGTGCACATACCCCCCTCAACACACACAGTTTAATAAACTAATATAAAGCTAGAACTTAATTCTCTGTGTCTAAAGTAAGAAAGCATGTATTAAATGCATGTCCCTTCCGCTTACATAAGCCTTCTAAGATGCAATGCTTAGGAGAAAGCCTGAGCTACTTTCTTCTGGTAGTGATAAGAAACCATGAGCAAGGCTGCCTCTGAAAGAATTTATTTGGGGCCTTGATTGCAGTTTCAGAGGGTTAGAGTCCATGACCATCATGGCAGGGAACATGGCAGCACACTGGCAGTCATGGTGCTGGATCAGTAGCTGAGAGTTTACACAAATAGGGGGCAGAGTGAAAATTAATCAGCAATGGCATGGGGTTTTGAACTTTAAAGCCCACCCCAATAGTGACACACCTCCTCCAAAAAAAAAAAAAAAGGCCACATCTTCTAATCTTTCCCAAATAGTTCCATCAACAAAGCTTTCCAATATATAAACCTGTGAGGACCATTCTCATTCAAACCAACTCAGAGAACATTTTCTCAAGCTGGTGTCTTCCAAACTAGAACTGTTTGTGGAACTAACCTTTCCTAGGGCAGTTCCTAATTCTGTCATGAGCTAGACTTCTAGGCAATGATAACCAGATAAGCCTTAACACTGATCATGTTTAATTATTAAAAGGCAATTGCATTGGTAGTCAAGTAGTACATCTATATGCCAGTACTTGATTTTTCAACTTTTTAAGATTTATTTATATTACTTTCATGTGTATGTGTACATATATGTGTGAGTGAATGCCATGTGTGTGCTTAGGGAGGCCAGAGAAGTCACTGGAATCCTTGGAGCCGGAGCTACAGGTGGTTGTAAATTATCCAGTCTTGGACATTTGCTTGGGTCCTCTGGAAGAGCAGCAAGTGTTCTTAACCTCTATACCATCTCTCCAGCCCCACAAACTAGCTTTCTTTAAGTATTTTCTTTTATTGGCTGTGTTTTATATTCATCTTATGTAACTTGGTGGCCATTGCTTGTTAATATCCCAAAGAAGCAGTTTCCAACAAAGGACTCAGACAAATCCCCCTCCCCCTGGGATACTAGGATGTCATCCACAGGGCAGACAGCATGAAATTCAATAGTGGACTTCAAATGGGCTTGGCCTAAGAGCCATCCCTTTTATACCTCTTAGTTGCTTAAAATTTACCCATAAAGGTTTTTATTGGCACTAACTCCTTGGCCTCTGTTACTTGTCCCTCATGACATGTGGGACCATATTAGCCCATTTGGGATAGATCTTGTCACAGTAATAAAGGAAAGCTGATATCAAACCAGATGGCTAATCATCAATGTCTTCAAAGAAAATTGCTCAGAAGCAAGAAGGGGAGTCATCAGCTCAAATGAACTCACACTGGGCAGGGAGGCTGAAGAAGAGGGGTCTTGAATTTGAGGACAGCCAGGGCTTCATAGGAAGAACCTGTCTCAAAACCAGCAACAAAGATAGAATCACTTATGTCAGCCTTTCTGAGAAGTTCCAGCTTTGTGGCTCTTTGGTCACATGATCTCATGGTCACATGTGTTCTTACCTTGGCCCTTCCAAGGCTGCTTGTGATACTTGTTTCAGTAATAAAGTTATTTCAGAGATTTTCACTAGCACAGCATATCATTGCAAATCCCCCAAAACTGAGATCTGAAAACAAAGAAGAGAACTTCCCTGACACTAGAGGAGACATTTTAGAGCGATTTGTGCTGTGGGATTGCTGACACAATGGTCCCCGGAGAATTAAAAATCTCAAGGCTAAGGAACTACATCAGTCAATAAAGCACTTGCCACACAAGCATGAGGACTTGAGTTCAGTTCCCACCACCCTCATAAAAAGTACATTTACAATCCCGGTGCCAGGGAGGTGGGTTCTGGGAGGTTGCTGGCCAGCCAACCTAGACTAATCGGTGAGCCCCAGACCTCAGATAGAAATGCTATCCCCAAATCCAAAGTAGGTGGCTCATGAGCAATAATGTCTGAAGTTGACCTCTGACCTCCACACATACACATGCATGCACACCTACTCAAACCACACTACACGTGAGCGTGCACGCACACACACACACACACACACACACACACACAGAGGAGAGTTAAAATTCCCCTAGGGTTCTCCTGCTTGCAGCATGGAAAGGCTGAAACCCCACTTCCAAGGAAGAAACTTGCCTCCAAGAAAGAGATGTCACGTGGTGCTACCAACTTTTCAGGACCACCCTGCAGGCCAGACCAGAGACAAGCTAGTGATGGGTCAGTAATGAGGCAGGGCATACCTTGCCCAAAACTGCTTCCTTATATATCCTGCTTGTCTGGTATTAAGCCTAAACTCAGAGCAGTGTCCTGAAGATGAATAATTTCTTCCTCTTCTCACTGCAGCTGAAATAATTGCCTCTCCTTCCTCCTCTTTTTGCTCGTCCCTATCTCTTTAATTGGTGTACTGAGACAGACGGCCCATGCATTCCAGAGCCCAGGCTTTGACAGTAAAACTCTGGGAACAACTGAATTCCTTCATTTGTTCCTCTTCTCGATGTGGCCACATTGAATAAATCTCCTTTCTCTGCCTTTCATGATTGCTTTTCTCTTTAACTGGAATTTGTTGGGACCTCCCAAGCCTGTAAAACTTCCAGTTACACTATTTTCAAATAAGATCCCCTTTTGTGGTGCTGGGGACTAGATCTTCAACTTGTGAATTTTGAGAGACTACATAAAATTCAGCCTGTAATGGAAAAGCAGGAAAAAGAATAGTGGGGCCCTAAATCTTGACTATTGTCAGGACCACGGTGGCCCTGGAGACTAAAGGTATCTCCTAAGCCTAGCATATGCCTTTCTGTAGGCTGAAGGCAAAGGATGCCAGCAGCTGCTCTGTGGCTGCTTGTTGGATGTTTCTGGCATTTCTGAGGTGACAAACATGGGTGCAGCAGGATGGACTGGGTACCAGCACCTGTGAGGTAGCACTATTCCTCCCAGGGCATGGCATCATATCCACAGCTTTGCCACTAAACAGGCCTAGAAAATTTAGAAGAGCAAAAATTCTAACTTCAGTCTGTTCACCTTCAACAGCCTTTCAATACTCTCCCTTCTTATGGAAAAGACCCTAAAACAGCGGCCCAAAGAATGACAATTGCCCAGTGCCGACAGAGAAAATAGGATTTGTGCCTGGGGATGGGGGGGTAGGGGTAGGGGGAAGCTCCCCTCCCTGGAAGAGATTTCACACCATTCAGACAACTTCTCTCACAGCTAATTCAACATACACATTTCTTTCTATAAAACAGTAACTTTGCTCCAGGAAAGGGGACAGAATCTAAGAATTTTCTACCTCCAGTTCTGATTAATCTGTAAATAAATCCATTTTCCTTTACCAATGTCTGCTCCCAAATTTCTTCTGAAATGCAGGAAAACCAATGAGCAATGAACTGAGCTGCCAGATAACCTGCGGAGGTCACACATGGCAGGCGGCCGTGTGCCTTACAGCTGTTCCGCTGGACTAGAGCTTTTGTGTGTCTGCCCCCATCCTCAGCACCATAAGAAGCCAGCTGTGTCCTAACAGGGAGGGCTCCATCTGCAGGGAAATGCAGAGCTGTTCTCCACAAGCAGCTAAGCAAGACCTAGAATCCCAGGAGAGTCAGGCTGGAAGGAAGCCCAGAGCCTTGCAGCCTCCTTTGTCACTAGTGCCAGTTTCAGTAGAAGAAACTGACTCAACGCCCAAGCCAACTGGCACAGACCTCAGCATCTTAACCCCAGACTAGGAGGCCCTCAATGGATCTCAGTACTGACACACTTCAACAGTTAAAATGATTATTTAACCCATTTCAACCTAGTCGGTAAAGCATGAGACTCTTAATCTCAGGGTCGTGGGTTCGAGCCCCACGTTGGGCGCCACATGTATGATAAAAGTCTCTTTATTCAAGAAGCCACCAAGGCAAAACACAGGCCAGAGCTAGGTTATAGAACCCAGCAAGCGCGGCCAGAACAAAAGGGCCAGGGTCCCCACGTGCAGCCCCTTAAGAAGCTCCCTTACGTCACCCCGGCTTTCCTTCACCACGCCCTTATGGGCAAGTCCCGGGTCCACCTGGTACCTGTCCCAGGACTATTGGGCGGGGCTAGGGTGTCTCCCTACAGCAAACAGTTGAAACTTGCAAGCTAAACCAAGTCCTAGAGATTTGATAACAGTCCAATCAGACATTCAACTTTAATAGACCTTGGAGAGCCTGCAGGACACTCTGGGGAGAGAATAGGGTCTGCTCTGAACACAGTATGGCCATCAGGAAAACTTTTTTTTTTTTTTTAGAAATATGCAACAGATGACACACAAACCCCAGGTACAACAAATAACAGTGGGAAACAGTAGCATGGTGACATGGTAGCATGGTGGCACAGGCTTCTAACCCTAGCATTCAAGGGGCCCAGGAGGGAACACTGCAAGTTTGGGGCCATCCTAGGCTACTGAGAGAAACTCCTGGCATAAAATGAAATAATGCCAAGGAAATGAATAAAAAAAGAAGTGGCCCAGCAGACAGAGATGGGTCCCCGAACCTCAGTTTGCCCATCTGAAACAGAAGATCTGTCATATTTGAACTCTACAACAGAAAAGGAAGGTAATATGCACAAAACCTTGCAGTAAGCATCAACAGTGAGGCAAACACACAAGGTTTCTCTCAGGGTTGCCATACTTGTATCTGGCTTGAGGCCTTTCACATGTGATGACAGCAATTGTTTTAAGAAGAGTCATCATTTGTGGGGAGATTTGTTTCTGTTCCCCCAAAGCCATGCAAGCATCACCCCCTCTATCAAGTCAGGCAATAAGTGATATGTTCAGATTCGGGGGAGGAACCTGATGCCTCTGAAGCCCCTGCCCTTGTCCCCTGCTCTAGATCTGTGCCAGTTCTCTTCAGCAGTAAAAAGCAGCTTCCCCCAAACGCAGGAACCTGGAAAGTCTGGGGACTGCAGCCCATCCTGAGTCCTGTCAGACCCACTCAAGAGGGAGGACTTCCAGCAAGTGTCCCGAGGCTCTGGGAAGAACCATGCCTTGCAGCCAGACTCCTCCACACTTACCTTGCCTTCTCCTGGGGTCCTTTGTGCTCCCTTGGAGGACTTGGAGGATGTGGACCCAGCACCCGGTGCGCGCCGAGGCCTCAGGTCACTCAGGCTGCTGAGATACTTCTTGCGCAGGGCCAGCAGCTCCTGAAGATATTGCAGGCAGTCCTGGGTGCGCGAGTACATCCAGGCACGGTCCTCCTGCTGCAGGTAGTGCAGGCTGGTGTCCATGCTGTGGGTGCTTCTGTACTTCTTCAAAGACTCGCTGGACTTCTCCAAGTGGTCCCCAACTACGTACATGGAGCTACTACGAATCAGTCTGACGGTGGGGGTGGCTCCCGAGTAGTAGGGGCCCTCGGCTGCCGCCTTCCCCTGTGGGCTGAGGTGGAGGATGGAGTGGATCTTTCTGAACATGGTGCTCCGTTTCCCTCCGTGGGAACCGTTGGCTGACTGCACAGGTGTCACTTGATCCAGCTGCAGGCAGAGGAGCCCATTTCCAGGCCCTGCGCCGCCACCTGCCTCCCAGAAGGCTCAGCTCTCACAATCCCAGCGAGGAACAGCTGTGTCAGGCAGGCAACCTGCAGGTCTCTCATGGGGGACACTTACGTGGGACAACCAAGATGGCACGCAGAGAGGCTCCCTGCAGGAGACAGTGCCCAGGCAGGCCTTTCGAACCAGTTGTTGAAAAGACGTCCTATGCTTTCCCATGGAAAGCGTCAGCTAGAGGGAACTAGTGGCGACATTGTACCTGCTTAGTCATTGTCTTTCCTTTGCGTTTTCCATCCTCGAGAGCGATCCGGTTTGACTTGATCTTCAAAAAGATTTTAAGATTCTGCCTAGGCTGAGCTGGCCCTGGTGCTGAATTCTGTAGGTCCGAAATAAAATCTTATTCAACCAAAACCCAGCCGTTGCTCTGGATAAGATCCAGCCCCCCTTGTAGGCCAGGCTGGACACGACCAGGGCCCTTGGCAGGAGCTAGCAGATGCCCTGATAAACCCGGCCCTGAGCAGGCATCCGAGCGTCCTGGAGGAGGCTGGCGCTGCGTAAGAGGACCTCAGTGGTCACCTGATAGCAGGCCTTTGAGGGCTGGAGGACTCAGGTATCTGGATCACGACTTTTTAGCACAAATGCGTCAGTGAGTAGATCACATACACTGGGGAAGATTCTTTTCTCCTGGGTGCATTTTTAACTCAGAACAACCCAAACCAAACGAATTACTTCTCAAGAGCCCTGAGTTGTTAGCGCCCAAAGACCCCACCCCCACCCCGGGCCCAGTTTTCACAGTTCCATTCAGAACTTTCATTGTCACATTCATTTCTCTCTAGAGTTCATTTTCACCCAGGTTTGGGTCTGAATCCTGAATGTCTTTAGTGTAGGTTTTTCTTCTGGTGTAGGTTAGGATATTAGAGGAGTCGTGGGTTAGATAGTATGTGAAAAGTTGCGTGTATCCACACACTTTGGTTTTGCTGTTCACTGGGTTTGCTTCATTTTATTTCTGAAGTAGAATGCATTTGTAGCTTTATCAGATAGAAAGAAAAACATTTTTAAAAGTTTATATCCTGCTTTAAAATAATCATTCACTTTAAGTCATTATAGAATACTACATGGAGATGTTATTTGTATTGGAGCATCCTCTGTGTGTGTGTTCTCCTAGGCAGGTTGAGGACTGAGTTCCTTGTTAGCTGTTTCAGCCTCCCTGTTGCACAGGGATTAGGGAAGAGTATTTTCCGGTGAAGTAATTTATTTAGTATTTGAAGCTTTCTGGAGAGGGAAGCATGGTCTCAACCATAATCTTTAATGAACTTCTTCACAGGAAAATGCCCCCCTCCCCCCACACTGCCCCAAAGAGATTTGTCTATGGTCTAAACAGTTCAGCTGCAAGTCCCATGTTCCCCTTCAAAAAGGCGCCGAGATACATCTCCCCCCAACTCTCTCTGTCTCTGCCTTCACTGGAGCACAGTGTGGGAGAGCCCATAAAGGGCAGGTCCCCAGCTTCTCAGAAGTTCTCATGACTGAGAAACTCAACCTTCCTTAGGAGATGATGCCAGTGACTGGTGGCCATGTCCACACTGCCTGGATCAAGAAAATGTGTGAAGAGATTTTAAAGACAGTATCTCTGTCCAGAATGTGGCCTCACCTTTTGCTCACAGAGGGCATAAAACTACCTTCCTCCACACACCCCCTCTTTCAGCAAGCCTCTCTGCTGGATTCTTCTCAAGGGCCAGACTTAGAGGGAACAGCTGGTAATGGCATTTGCACTGGAGCCTAACAACCTGAGTTCAACCCCAGGAGGTAGAGGGAAGCACGGAGACCAACCCCCACATGCTTCTAACTCCACACGTACCTCATGGTACACACACACACACACACACACACACACACACACACACACCACAGGCATGTTCAAGCATACTCATGCACACACAGCCAGACTTAAAACATCTGGTCACATCACACCCACCCTCAAGAGCAGGTAGGAATGAATGCATGCATGCTTGGTGTTCAGCTTTCTCTGTTCTTTTACTGTCCAAACTAGGGAATGGCACATTCCACTTTCATGCTGGCTCTTCCCAAGTCAATTAGGGCAATTGAGGTAATTCCCCACAGACATGCCCACAGACCAACCTGATCTAGACAACCCTGAATTCAGACCCTGACAATTAAAACTAACCATCCTGGTCAGTATTTCATTGCCATGACAAAACAAGTGAGAATAAGCAAATTGAGAAAGGAAAATTTTATTGTGGCTCACAGTCACAAAGGTCCATTATCAACTGGCTCCACTTCTTTGATCCCGAGGTGAGACTAAGCATCTAGGTAGCAGGATGTGTGGAGATGAAGCATCTCACCAGAGCAGCCAGGAAGTAAAGAAAGGATCATGCCATGGACAAGACACTTCAAAGGCCCCAATGCTCTGTTCCCTCCAACTCAGCCCCCTCCCAATTGCACCTCTTCCTCGAAAACAAAATCAAATTATAAAGCTATCAGTGGGCTAACCTTTCTATGAAGTCATAGCCCCTGTGACCTTGCAACCTTCCCAAGCCTCTGTTCTCAAGGCTGCTGCAATGAGAACTAAGCCTTCCATACATGAGCCTTTTGGGACAAAACTTCCAATTCATACCATAACAACACATCTCTCTCCCTGCTCCTGCTTCCCTTCCCACCATAGCTGATTATCCATCTCTGTAGATTCAACTTTAAAGTTCCACTTACATGTGTGATTATGAGATAGTTTTTTATCTGTCTTAGCGTGATGTCCACAAGGCTGTGTATGGTGTGGCAAGTGGTAGGATCTTCTATCCTGAGATGGAATAATATCCCACTGTATACCTGGAATTTTCCACTCATTGACCTGTCAGATATTTTGCCGTTTTTACATCTTGGTTGCTGTGGCAGTATGCAGAGATATAAGATGAGTCCTGAGATTCAGTGTGTACCCTGGGAAAACTATAGTTAACAATACTGTGTTTTATTGGGATCTCCCTCCACAAAGAAATAGGGTTTAGGTGCTCTTGTCCAGAAAGAGGAAGATTGGTCCTGTTAGATCACAAGCATGTTAGATTATGTTGTGTATTTCAAACATACACAATAAAAAATAAACAAAAAGCAACAAAATGAGATAATGTAAAGAGTACTAACTGCCCTATCTCCCACATCAAAAGTATAAAATAGTATTAATAGTATAAAATGTCACCTCGGTTTCTATTTCACAGCCCCTGCCAGGTTCCAAGCTCCCTTCCCAGACAAATGTTTGGATTCAGTTGAACTCAAAAAGCCTGCCCTGGTCTGGATGAGTCCCTAAGTAGCAATCAGATGAGACACTGCTAGGTTCTCCGGCTACCACGAGGAGGGTTTATTTTCTAGATGCCAGTTGGTTGGCCTGTCTGGAGCAGCCAGCTGCTCACAGGCCACCTGCCCTGCACCTTTCCCTTTCTGGCAGGATTCCAATGGGCACCCAGCCCCTTCCCTACAACCAGGTGCACAGCTGCCTTTGTGGAACAGCCTGGAACCTCAGTGGGATGCCCATCTCAACCAATGAGCCACAGGCCAGTACCTGCACTTCTTAAGGAGTATGCTGACTAAAGCAACAACCACAAACTGTTCCCAGTGGCAAGTCTGTAAATCCCTGTCACCCTGTTCCTGACAGGAAGAAAGGTGACTTTGAGTCAGCTCGGTGCTTCCCAGAGGCGAATAAGATGTTGGAGCAAAGCAGCTGAGAGGCCAGAGGAAGAGTGTGGAGGAAGAAGGGGATGCCGAGAGAAGGAAACGATCCAATTCCTCTACTGAATAGTTAATGAAGGATACGATTACAAAGTTCGACAACATGGATCTCATGTCATGGTGGTCCATTTGCACAGCTTACTGGAACATTCCACTTTCTGATTGTGCTGAATGGCAAGGAAAAGAATTCTCCCTGTAGACAGCTTCCCTGGCTCAGAAAGCAATGCTAATGCTTGAATCTTTGGCCAAATAAAGGAAAATCGCCTTTATCTGATGCAGCCTGTCTCCAGAACAGAGCATGTATAAGCCTTCCTGGGTACCTCCTCCATCCTCAGTGACTGAAAGCAGGACAGTAGGTGGCTTAATCATCCTGCTTCGTGACATACTTGAAGGCCCTGGAACAATTGCATATGAGCAAACATTGGCTCTCTGAGGTTCACAAGACATCAAAGTGCAGTGACCAAGGACCCAGAGGGCCGATAGCAAGAAGGCACAGACCCCATTTGAGAATACTATGGACTGTCAATAGAGAACAGGTGCAGTGGAGAATAGTAGCTTCAGTAAGCAAGGTTTAAGAGAGATCTGTTTATGTGTGAGTTGATGAAGGATATGTCCCTATTATGCATGGAAGGCTTCCTTTCATCCACAAAGAAGAACAATGGATGGAGCAAGAGATGATTAATATTTACCAAAATGAGTCAACTCCAAAAGACAATAGTTCCATGTTTTCTCTCATAGCCAGAATCTGCTTTTATTTTGGTTTTTGTTTGGTTTTGTTTTTCCCAGTCAAGGTTTCTCTGTCTAAAACCTGTTCTGGAACAAGCTCTGTAGACCAGGCTAGCCTAGAACACACAGAGATCCTCCTGCTTCTGTCTCCGGAGTGCTGGGATTAAAAGCTCAGAACCTAGTTTTAAGTAATGTGAAAGAAAAGGAATCTGTGGGCGGGGGGGAGGCTAAAGAGCAGAGCAGAATGGTGACAGGGAAAGAGGGGCATAAACATGGGCAAAGAACAGCACACAGATGTATGTGATGTTATAATGAAACCCATTCTTTATGAGCTGATTTGTAAATGTCTGTGAAAGAATAGTGAGGAATTAAAGGAAGTAAAACACTGTAAAGAAGATTGGAGAGGAGTGATAGGAGCTTGGAATGGACAGTATGACTAGGGAAGGAGGAGATCACAGCAGAGAAGG